TCACATTGTATTTAAGGTTTGAGTACATTCCCAAGCCTTTGTTTAGATTTACTTACAACACTTGTAAGAAGGACGTTTTATGGCCCTACCAAACAAACCATCAATTAAAATATATTTTTTATATTAAAGATTGATGGATAAACAATTATTAATAAGAATAAAGTCATGTCAATGACTTTGTTGTATAATGGATAAACCATCATCCTTAATTACTTTAAATGTTTTTTTTTTAAGTTATGTTACTCAACAACACATAAGTATTTGTTGCCTCCTTAAAAGAACCATGAATAAATTTATTTGGGTGACAAATCCATTTATTATGTTAGAGATATTTTTAAGTATACCCCTAATAGAATGGGATATTTAGTGTCGTATTAAATATTTCCCATTATTAAACTTTTAACAAATTGAAGAATGTGTTAGTTAAATATCCTTCGACGTTGTAAATGCTTAATTCAAGAAGCCAAGTTATTTACAAGTCATTCTTGGGCCACAACTACTGTAAAGTAAAGTAACTAATTTACTTGCTGCAACTAAAAAACATAATAATTGTACAACAGTTTACTTAGTTACCAAGTAAACTGTTATTAATGGGGGATTTATTATTGTAACAGCATATTAAGAATAAGTAGTAAACAATGTATGACCTATTGCTGTAATAGTTTACTACTTTTTATTCATGCTTATTACATGGCACAAGTATACACGTTATATTTATATTTATGTTCTAGTTATTTATTCTATAATAGTCGCTGAAGTGGAGAAATCACTTACAATTTGAGTTGCCTTCACATCAGTATTTTAAATAAATAAAGTTTGGGTACAACAATTAGTCGATATTACACAACCAAAAACCTAAATCACTCACTAGTGTCTAATATATGTAACCGGTAAATACTCACAAGGCGTCAAACGTAAAATGTGCAGAAAATAATATTCTGTTTGATAAATGTAAACTAAGAAAAAGCAGAGAAAACAAAACAATACTTAAACTAACTAAACATAAACATAACACAGTATTTTTTTTCTTTGTTCACATCAACATAACATTTCAAACAACTTTCACAGGCGTCCTTTTACAACTTCTTGATTTAACGAGCAGCTTGTTATGAGTTTGGAACGCATTGTAAGTTTTATCAGGTTAACATACAATTTCCAAGAAAAACATTGCTTAATCTTTGTTTTTCATAAAATTTTGTAAAGCGTGTACTCGTTAGGAATAAAATTTCTGGTTGAAATATAAATATTTTTATTGTAAATTTCTTGGAATAATTTACCACTCTAATAATTATTATGATAGCTTATATTGTGTTTTATAAAATAATATTTGATAACATTTTAAAATTAAGCTATTACTTATCAACTTACCCAATTTTAGTTTAAATATTTAAAAAATTATATTTATTTTGCTTGCAACTTCTATCAGGCATAACAATAAATTATTTCAGAAACACTTAAGTAAATTAATTATTGGTTTGGGGTAGTAACATATTTATTTATATATACAAATTACCTAGTAAATACTGAGTTCAAAAATTATCGACCACTTTATGAAATATAAATATTTACATGAAGTGCAAAACAATTTGACAAAAGATTAAAAAGACGATTATTGTTAGCGGCGTAAAGGAGAGAGAGCGGAAGATTAATCAATAGGGCGACTAGACTTTTCTCTTTGTTGCTGTTAACGTTGAATTTCAACTTAATATGTTTGTAATACAAAGCTTTTATCGATTTATATGGTGAACAGGAATTTTGATAAATAAAGTCTTATTTTACACTACGAGCTTTTGCGTATATTAACGTGAAAAATGCAATAATAAGGTTGAAGCAGAGCATTGTTAAAGACCAACAAAGAGCTCAGCAGAAATAACCTGGAAGGCATCATTGGAGTATCTTTAGGATTTTTTAAAGTTTAAATCTGTGAATTATATTTTGTTTTAAGGGTATAGTTTCAATATTGTTATTTATTATAATTTTATTTTTAATAATAATACAAAACTCGTTACACTTATTACTTTTGATATAACAAACCTATTATAGTGTATTTAAAACATTACGACTTTAGAAATTGCTTATTACTTTCCCATTTGAGTGAAATAAATGTATTCTTGTATACCATAATGGTTGGTGTTATATTAGAAAAACCTTCCGAAATGAAAAAGTTTTTCGTCATAGTCAAACACATTGTGAAATGTATCTTGTTGAAAAAAATATATTTCAAGTGTATTGTAAATAAACTAACAGTAAATAGATATATACAAAGTAGTATGACGTATTTGTATCCATCCAAATTAAAAATGCTGGCCGTAGTTTCTTTTTAGGTAAATATATCTATAATATATCAAGTATAAAAATAGGATCGGGGAATAACCTAAACCAAACTTGAGTCTGATACAACGCCTAAACTTTGTATGTAAACAGGACTTACAAGTACTTGTCTTACGTGATACAATAAATAAACAATGCAATATGTATAGTGTATTGTTAATTGAGTATTTTCTGTATGGCTTTGAATATAGAAAGTTCTCAATCCAGAGAAGGTAACCGTATTCTAGAATCTCACTCAAGATCAGTGGATCTCTACCAGAAATAGATTCCGAACCCTCGGGTCACAGTTTTATTTCATTAATAAACTCTATTGTCTATTGGATGTATTTAACCCTAAACTTCCTGTACTGAATGCATAACCTCTATTACTAGCCACGAACCTTTGAAAACAGACAGTACTTACTACTATTTCCTTAAATAAAATAAGGAAAGAATTTGTTTTAGAAAAATTTGGTTAAATACTTAATTAATACAATAAACACTTTTGAGGTGTAGTTGTGTCAGTAAAGATTTCTGGTGTTTTTTTTTCGTAGGTTTACTAAAGAGGTGAAAACAGCCTTTCTCAAAACACAGAGGTTGAAAGAGAATACACAACTGCGTTTGTCGCCGATTTTACCTTTTTCACTTGTAACATGTTTGACTTTACATAACAAACAGCGTACATAAGTGTGTCAGATATTCGTTGTGTAAAGCTTTTGAAAAAAAGTTTTAATATTATTAATAGATTTACTAATTGCAATGTTAATCTATTGCAATCTCGATGTGACTACGTCTCAAAACATTTATATTATCCAACATAGATATGTAGAGGTATTTTGTCACTTCCACACATGCAAATGATCTTTATTTGTTTGTAGGAAATAATAACTGCAAACGTTCAAAATAATAGCTTATTTTTATATATATTATTCTATAAATCTGATATCCACTTTAATGTATTAGATTGCTAATGTTTTACCAGTCAAGATTTTGTGAGCAAAAAATACAGTACATAAAACTATCAAAAGCATAATTTGTTTTGGTCATTCCGGTTAATTCATTACTCCTACTTTTTTATTGCAATTCCGCTTATTCACTACAGTACCAGATTTTTTTCCATAATCAGCAAGTTTGGTTGGTTAGGTTAGTTTAGAATAATTCAATTTATAATTGATATATTCACAGACTAGCCTAACTGTTAAAAATATCGGAATTGCAATACAAAAAGTAGTTGGAGTGAATTAACGGAAAAGAACCCTTATTATTTTTCAACAAATAAAATAAAACTAAAACTGCAGCAATTTTTCTGTTTGAAAGTACGTCATTCTTAAACTTTTTTCTGTTTTTTGCTTTACACACAAGACATTAAATGCATTAGTCTTTGAATCTATATAAACTTTTTTAATATGACAAAGGCCCTTTTACACTACACCACTTTATATCTAATTAAAGCTGTACAACAAACATTGTGTTAAAGTTATTTAATCTATTAATTATATTACTTAAATTACTGTTGCATGCAAACCAATTTGTAATTAGAGCTTGTATGATTACTCTGAGGGTAAATCATCAGGGAGCCCAGAGCGATCGTACTTAATGTAATGACATGTCCGTTCTGTTTGCAGACAAATTATTTCTCTGAAAATGTTTTAAAATCTAATTTTATCATACAACAGCTTTCCTTTATGAGTGATATATCGTAAGTTTTCAAGTCAAGACGAGGTAATTTAGTCTTACCTTTTAATAAAGCTAATATTATATATTATTTATGATAAAAATAATTGTTTAGTTGTAAAAAGTAAGATTTTTATAGAAGGAAAATCACTGATTATTGTAACGTTTATAACAATTAAACCTTAGATGTAAGTTTTATTGAATTTGACCAAATTTTATTCAGATTTCAATGATATCTTATAACCTTAGTTTGGACAAATAATAACTGAAGAATCAATTTCTTTCTTGCTATACCAACAGTTTTCTCTAGTTAAAGAATGTTTAAAAAATTATTCGTATTGCAGTTATTTTTTAAAATTGGTTGTTTTAATGAGATTTGGCATTAAACATTTAAAATAGGCTCTATTTTAAAACTGTTTATTTATTCGTATTTTGTAAAAAGATAATGACCAATTCAATACAAACAAACACAAAATTAACATTTCAGCAGGATTTTAACGCTATAGCTCAAACCATCAAGGAGTTAACGTGATAACGTGCAAATTTTCATATGGTTATCAGATACTCTGTATATAGCATAATAAAGCTGTAAATTTAATCCTTACATTACAGACTAAAGATAATAAATTATTTAATAAAACAATTGACAAAGCAAATAATATTTATTTTATGTGTATTCCCAAGTTATTAATCCAATTATTTTTATATAAAGAGAAACATAAGTAGAAGAAATAATTATAATTTTACTTAATCTACATCTTGGTAACTTTCAGGTTATTGATCTATTTCATAGCTCAAATCTAACAAAACCGACAGAACACTGTTTTCCAATTAGAAACGCATGTATATATGATTTTATTTAACATATTATTTTTTCAACGGTATGCACACTTAATACAAAACCAGAATGTCTAACCTTATTTTATTACTTTTCAGCTATAATAGTCATAACTTAAATGGTATTGATTTACTAAACGATAAACGTACAAATTGCAGTCCCATGAGAGAATAAGTAATTAAATTTTCAAACAGCACGCAAAGTCCGCTGAATAGACTACTCCACTTTGCTGTAATACTCTCTTGCCATCTCTCTCGTGCAATTTACTTTGATAACACTGCAAAACAGATAGTTTATGTAACATCCATTCTGTTCAAGTATTCATTAAATATTGCCAAGCTCTAATTACTCATAATTTTGTAATAACTGTAAAGTGCATGTTGAGTTTAATCAGATCAAACAATAATGTCATTGAAACACTCTATACTGCGAGTTTGTAGGATTTACCTTACAAATTATTTGTAACTACAATTAATTAACAAGGATATATAAGATTTGAAATAGTGCACAATTCAAATGAATACAGCACCATTGCATTTTACATGAAAATTTACATACTGAACAACTGTGTGAACAGCTTAACTGTAGTGGTTATTGAAAAAACCAATTCTAGCTATTAAACCTTCCGTTAACTATTTTAAAATACCCACACCCCAGCGTACCTGCAAACTAAGCGAATTTCCATTTGCCTGATGTGTTCTTACTTAGACTAAATCTATTTCAATAACGTTAGGTTTAAGGAGTACCGAGGTATGATGCTACAGAAAGGCTAATAAAGTGAGTTTTTAAGTAAAATAATAACAAATAATATTTTAAGAATAAAATAAAGAAATGTGCCAAGTTTGATCAGCATATATCCATAAACAAGCTAACTATAAAAGTTTATTTATTTTCTTCACAAATAACATGGAGATTATAAATTTACAATATTTTGTATTTTCTCCATAACGATAACTGCACAAAAACACTTCTATATACTAATTTTTTTTTTCCAAAATGGTCTGGAGAGAAATAGGAAAATCTTTTTTTTTTGAGGTTGAAAATGAGAAAACCCAATTTATACCAAATAAAATTCCCCGTGAGACACCGTTTCCATAATAATTAGAAAATTCTGGTTCGCGAACTCGTTTAAATAAATCTAGGTTTACACAACTGTATCGTAAAAAAAAAGTAGATCGGTCCCGGGTCTATAGGTCTAACCACGAGACCTACGGAAACAGCTTATTCCCTATTTGGGAAATTCGCCGTGTTTAATTATTTGTTTTTCAATTATTTTTTTTTCATAATCATTGATTTTATATAGTCAGATATAGCTCTTACAATCTAAAATGACAAATACATTTCAAATTCAGCTCCAGAGTTAACATTGGTTAAACATACAGTATTGATCTCGAGCTTACCCAGTAGTTATTGACTTTAGATAATACAGACATACCTTGCTGTTGTACTCTTTGGTAAGTAAAATGTCTTAATATGTTACTGTTTAAGTTTTTGTATTATTAATGCTGAAGTCCTAAAATTGTATTATATTTGTAAAGTTAATATACTCTTATATAATTATGTATATTATTTTGTGTACCAAATTATTTAAATAGCATACATTGGCATGTATTTTTCATAGTATTAAATTACATGAATATTATAATCAACAGAGTGCAGTTGATTGTTGGAGTTTTATTTAGTTTACTAGCTGTTGTACCCGTGCTTTGCAACGGGAAGAGGACACAAAATAGAAACATTTTAATCTTTATATCTGTTGCATATAATAGTTACACATTCGCCAACACTTTTAGAAACAAAATTCAACTTTTATAACCTTAATAGAAACGTTTAAGCCATGACTTTTAAATCTCTGGTAAGTAGTGGATACCACCATTTTGGTTTTGATTAATTTTAAATCTTGTCTAAGCTGATGTGAGAAAAACTTACCAAATCTCCAAATAAAACTTTTACATACATGATTTACCTTCATCTCCCTTAATTACATATCTTTTGATTTATTATTGACATTTTCAATTTCAATTTTGAAGTTGCAAAAATACGAATTATTAAATTTAAATGAACATTTTTTTAAATTTCACTCTTGTTTATATTAAATCACTAATCCTTCCATCTTCAGTTTCTTCACTCACAATAAATCATTGGTAAAACTAAGTCAGCTGTTATAAACCTTAGAAATATTGCTGTTCCTTATCAATACAGTCTTTTGAAATATTAAAGAAACTATATCTATAGGTACTATACAAAATTGTAAACAAATAATTTATCATTAAAGACAGCAGACAAAACTAATATGGTTATCAAAGCATCAAGAACTAAAAAATGTAATAGCAAATACAGTATATGTTTCATTGCATCTCTGATTCTACTATACAAAAATATCAACAAACAACTTAATATACAAAACAGTTCTTTTTATCAATTCCATAGACCATTGCCTTTACATTTTCACACTTGCCATTAAGTAAACATACTAACAGATATTTCATTGATTTTAGAAACAAAAGAACACTGTGTACTGCTTAGTTTTATGATATTTTCCTTGGTTTAATTTAATCAGTGGTGTGGCAAAACACAAATAATAAATGTATCAAATAAAGTAAATGTTAACTGAAAGCTATGTTAAGATAAAATAAGAGTATTTTGTACTACCATTTGATAATTAAATATAGTTACGCATATACAACAGATTTTAGAAAACAAAAATCTACGTACAATTTAGTTATTGATGATATTCTTTAGTTTAATTTAAGCATAGGTTTAGCAAAACACAATAACTTAATTTACCTAAATCTACATATAAAAAACAATGTGATGTGCAAGTTATGTTAAGTTAATCAACACATGTTAAGCAGTTAGAATTTATTTAAAGTAGCCTTCAAATTCATACAAAACATCTATACATTGTAATTTTCATACTGTTTCCATAAAAACATATCAATAACATTATTTTCATAACTTACACGCTTTAAAAAATCCAAAGCAGAGCCAGAGTTGATACAGCACCGGTTATAGAATCTTTTGTTTTCTATAATGATTGACATAGTTTTAGAATAAAAAATCCATGATAAAAGGTTAGATTAAAATAAGCCTACCTCATTAGTTATGGAAAATATTATATTTAATTTCTTTGAATCAGCTGTCTGAAATTGTGAAATATGCAGTTAAGCAGTTCTTCTTGTTTACGTTTAAATGTCAAAGCAAATGTAAACAAACATTGTTAGTGTTCTCATCGCAGCCATGGAGACCAATCAATATTTACTTTTAAAATGTTCACCTCAGAACTTTTAAAGCCAAAGGGGCAAAGCCTACGGTCAGTATCGAAATGTGAATAGTCCTATAATGGTCCTTGGTATGATAGCTACATTTTTGTAAAATTTTAGCCCAGTTGGTTCAGTAGTTTTTGCACCTATTAGTAATACACATACAGACAGACACCATTAGATTTTTATATAATAGTATAGATTGCTGTACCCGTGCTTCACAACCGGCAACCGAGAGGACACTGAAGAGAAAGATTTTATGATCAAATCTGCTGCGTAAAATAGCTACGCATCCGCCTTTGGTTTCAGGAACAAAATTTCATTGGACGTCTTAGATTGAAAAAAATGTGTTCTTAAAGCTAGGCTATCTTATAAAGCTATCTAGCAAAAATGATATGAGGCACCGATGCATGTATGAAAATACTGTAACATATGGTTTAGTTTTCGAATGATACGCTTACCTAAAGGTGTAGGCCTTCTCTGTTGAAAAACTTACATATCAAGTTAATAGGTAAAAATGTATAGCTTAAGGAACTTAATACTTAACTTAATTTAACAAATTTAGGTACTGTATTTAAGCAAAAAACAATTTATAATTATTTCACATAAAATAAATAGGCTATGTTACAGAGAGTAAATTGATTAGAGTAATTAGTTAATTAGAGTAAGTTAAATTAATAAACTCCGTAAATTTAATAACACGTACAGCGCTGATCAAGAAGTTATTAGGCTATGTTGTACCCTAACTACTGAACTTTTGTCAGGAATCTTTACCTGCAGTTCACTATGTAAATATCACAGTAAGCGAAAATAAAATAACGGAAAACTTGTATTACATTTTTAAATAAATCAAACCCCCTATCATTGTAAATCAGGACAAAAAATGTATCAATGTAAATAAGAAATAAACAACATATACCTAATACATACCAGTTCTTATTTTTACTCGTCCCTTAGTTCATTGTATTTGCATTAATTAATTTACACTCTAACCATTGAATAAAGGAATATAGTTACAAATATTTAATTGATTTTACAAGCAAAAGTTAATTGCGTACAGCTTAGTTTTGTGGTATTCTAAAAAGTAAGATTAAAGCAGTGTTGTAGAAAAACATAACTCCTTGTCGCTTAATGTAAATACCCCCGCCGCAGCGAACCTGCCGTCTAAGAGAATTTCCATTTGGCTGAATTGATTTTCAATCGATATATTTAAATAACATTTAGGTTTAACAAGTACCTAGGTTTGCTGCTACAAGGAAACTAATAAAGTGTGTGTTTTAAGTAAAATAATTATTGCTTAGTAGAAAACGAATATATTTGCCAAGTTTGATCAAAAGGTATCCATAAACAAGCAAACTACAGTACAACATTTTACAATATTCTCCATAAGAATAACATGGGAATTTTAAATTTACAATTTTTTTAGTTTTCTCCGTAACCAATAACCGTACAAAAACACTTTGATATACTGAATTGTTTGTTATTTTAAGCTCTTTAAGAAGGTTTAGAGAAAAATTGGGAAATTTTGTGTTTTGAGGGTCAAAAGTGAGAAAAACCAATTTTTACCCCATAAAACCCCCCATAAAACCCTGTTCCCATGGTCCGATCATGCTGGATCGCGAACTCATTCAAGTTTATCCCGCCTTACACCTTCAAACCAAATTTCATCAAAATCGGATAAAAATTACTCAAGTTATCGTGTTCACGGACACATATATATATAAATCTATATATATATATATATATATACATATATAAAAATTTGAACGAATGGTGTTTTTGGCCTCTGGGGACATCAAAATGAAAAAGTAAATCGGTCCTGGGCCTAAGTCTTACCATGAGACCTATGGTAATAGCTACTTCCCTATAGGGAAATTCGCTAAATAGCTACTTCCCTATAGGGAAATTCGCTAAAAAGCTACGGTAATGTGAAATTAAGTGTTATACCATACGCAATCGTAACCACTCATGAAATACAGCTCAAAAAGGCTTTAGAGTTTACAATAGCATGCAA